CTCGGAAGGAAGGTTGGGCAATCCTACTTCCGTAGTGATACTGCCTCGCAAACCCAAGGAGGGGTCGCTATGAGTCGGGGCCAACTCGACAGCATATAACAACAACAACAACAATGCTGAGGATATCAATCTTTATGCATTCCATTTCATTTTTGACAAATCTCAATTTTCCTAGGTTCATACTTCGTACATTCCATGTTCCGATGATTAATGGATGTCTTCAGCTGTTTCTCCTCAATTTGAGTGGTGCCCCAATAGCAAATGGAGGTCTTGAAAGCTTTACCTTATCCATATGAGTAAGACTGGGTTTACTCTGATGATTCAGATATTTCCCAGTCCTGTTTTGAGAGCTTTCTAACCTAACCGGACTATTCATAAAGTTGCACATGAATGTATCAGACCGGGTTTCTCTCTTATTCATAAGGTGTTCTCTGGCCAATTCTTTGAGAAGTGGATGGCCTCTTCCTTCTTCCTAGTCTGTCTCAGTCTGTAAGATGGGCTGGTACCTGTGCACCATGTCCATCCCTCTGGGTTTGAAACACCAGTGGCTCAGCCTCAAAACTCACATCAACACGTCACCATGGTAGGACAAACAACTTTGTCTCCCTGTTGGAAACCTCTCCTGCCACCCTTACCACCACAGGGCATAAATATGTATCTCTTCCAGTTGGTTGGCTAGGTAGCTCTCTTCCAAATTTGTTGGCATAAATAAGTGAGGACCTCCAATGATGTAGCCATTTGTTGAAATATCTTAATGGGTATTACCTCAATTCCTGGTGTCTTGTTTGTCACCAGTTACTTCAGTGCATATTGGGTTTCTTCTTCCAGTACCTTTGTTCCTTGATCACATGTTTCCTCCTGAAGTAGCTGAAAATCGACCAATTCTTTTTGGAACAGTGACTTGTCTATCACCACTTGTCAGTTTGTCATACTGTGGTAGTTTTAGTGTTGCTGTGATACTGGAAGCTATGCCACCAATATTTCAAATACCAGCAGGGTCACACATAGTGGACAGATTTCAGCAGAGCTTCCAGACTGAGATAGAGTGGGAAGGAGGACAGGACCTCTTCAAAAATTGGCCATTGAAATACTCATCAATAGCAGTTTTTATTAGTTGATATTAAATCAGCTACAACTCATGGCAACCTTATGTATAAAAGAATGAAAAGTTGCCTGGTCCTGTGCCATCTGCATGTTCAGTGGTAAGTTTGACTCCATTACTTCAGTTTTTGTGTGACTCTACCTTATTGAAGGTTCCCCTCAGTTCTGTGGACACTCTACTTTACCAAACATGATGTCTTTTTGTGGTGATTGTTTTTTCCTGATGATGTATCCAAAGATAAGTGTGCAGAAGTCTTGCCACCCTCACTTCTAAGGAGTGTTCTGGTTGTATAAGACTAATTTGATTGTTGGTCTGTCATTCCGAGGTATATCACTAACACCACAATTCAAATGCATCAGTTTTCCTTCTGTCTTCCTTTCTCATTACTCAAGTTTTGCATGCGTATAAGACTATGGAAAAGATTATGGCTTAAACCAGACACACTTTAGTCCTCAATGTGACATCTTTGCTTTCTAAAACTTTAAACAGGCTTTTTGCAGCAGATTTTCCCAATGTACTACATCATCTAATTTTTTCACTGCTTCTTCCATGGATGTTGATTGTTGATGCATATAGAATGAAATAATTGACAACTTTAATTTCTTTATTTATCATTATCCTATTCATGGCTCCAGTTGTGAGGATTTTGTTTTCTTCTGTTAGGGTTATAATCCATACTGAATGCCATAGGTTTTTTTTTTTTTTTTTAATAATTAATTAATTATTTTTTTCCCTTCATCAGTAGGTGTTTCAAGTCATCTTTATTTTTGGCAAGCAGTATTGTACTATCTGCATATTGAAAGTTGTTAATGAGTTTGCCTCCAACTCTGATATTAGTTCTTCTTCACGAAGTCCAAATTCTCTTATTATTTGCTTAGCATACCTAAATACAAACCACTGCTGTCAAATTGATTCCAGCTCGTAGTTACCCTGGAGGACAGAGTAGAGCTGCCACATAGTGTTTCCAAGGCTGTAAACCTTTACAGAACCAGGCTGCCACATCTTTCCCCCAGTGGAGCAGCTCATGGATTTGAACTGTTGACTTTTTGGTTAGCAGCTTAATGCGTTAGCTACTGCACCAATAGTGCTCCTTTTGTTCAGCATACAGATCAAATAAATAAGGTGAAAGATACAACTGTGTCACACATTTTTTTTTTTCTAATTTTTTCAGTTTACAGTATACTCTTGTTTTGTTTGAAATATTGCCCCTTGATCCTTGTGCACATTCTTCATGAGCATAATCATGTGTTCAGGAAAACCAATTCTTTTCATGTTAACAAAATTTTATTTTCAGGCCTGTCAAAAGCCTTTACCTAGTTGGTGAAACATAAGTAAACATGTTTGTGATCTTCCCTGCTTTTGGCTAAGACCTATTTGACAAGCAAAGTGATTCCACTTGTCCCATGTCCTCTTCTGAATCTGGTTTGAACTTCTGGCAGTTCTCTATCAATGCTTTGCTGTTGTTAGTTATTGTAGAGTCGATTCCAAATAATGCAACCCCATATGTGCAGAGTAGAACTGTGTTCCACTGGGTTTGCAACCCATGACCTTTCAGAAACAGATTATCAAGCCTGTCTTTTGAGGCAGTCCTAAGTGGATTCAAGCTACGAACCTGTGGGCTAGTAGTCAAGTTCTTAACTGCTTGGTTCACCCATGGATGCTCCTGACAATGGTAGGAAGCAGAAATAAGAAATGGCTATTTACATCCCTGAAGAAGCCCTGGTGGCACAGTGGTTAAGTGCTCTACTGCTAACTGAAATGTCGGCTGTTGGCTCTCAAAAGCTTCTCCATGGGAGAAAGATATGGCAGCCTACTTCTCTAAAGTTTATAGCCTTTGAAACCCCATTGGGAAGTAGTTCTATTCTGCCCTGGGGTTTCTATGAACAGAAGATTTTGTTTTTCATTATTTAAGACTGGGCAATCTACTTCCATAAAGATGTACCACCTCAGAAACCCAAAGAGAAGTCACTATGAGTCAGAATTGACTCTACGGGAGTGAGTTTGTTTTGGTTTTTTGGATAGTGGGGGAAGGTGGAATTTCATGAATAAAATACAATTGTATATTTTTAATTACAGTCCTCATGATTGTCCTTGAGTGTTGCTTAAATTTTATTTTATCTTTTAATTAAGAAGAAAAAAAGTCTTGCTAAGAAAATTAATAAATTAATAGATAGGTAAACAAAAGTAAAGGGAAGTTCTAGATTCCCAGTTAATAATCTATCTGTCATAGGTCTTTCCAATAAACTGTTAGACCCAGAAATTAAAATTATAGGTGGTATGTAGAGCAAATTATATATAAAACAATTTAAATACCATGTGACTTTTATGGCACATGTTATTGATGAATTTTAAGATTTCAGTTGGGATTTCTATTTTTAATGTATTTTTGGTTTTGATTGAAACAGTAGAATTCTTAATGGATTGATCATTAACACATGTTTGAGTGTATCTATTGTTATTAACCTAATAAAATAAAATAATTGATATATAACTTATTTCTATTTCAGATTTTGATAAAGAATCCAGTGTTGGTGTGCACAGCTGTGTCTAGAGCTGTAGAATATTTACTTATTATTGGAATTGGTGAATTTTTGCCTATATATATCGAACATCAGTATGAATTATCACACGCAATGGCAACAATTCTTTCAGGTAGATTTTTCTGCTCATTATGTTCATTTCTAAACTTTTGTATAACATTTTCTTATACATATATGAAAAATTCTAAATAAACAGAAAGTGAAAGGATATTATAAACAGATACCTAAATACCCTTTGCTCAAGCTATAAATAAATGAGAATTTTTCCATTGTTTTATCAATATTTTCGAACATATTAAACTTTGTAAGGACCTCTGAACTTCCCTCCTTTATGCCATGTATATCCCTTCCTCCCTTTGGAAAGGTAATCAGTCTTCTGAAGTTAGAGTCCATTTTTCCCATACATGTTTGTATGTGTTCAGTACTTATATGTATATCCATATTTCTAAAATTTTATAATACTCTTCTGCTACTTTTTTTTAAACCAGAAATTATACTGCTCAAATTTATGTTGATCTTTGTCTACTTAATGCATTTTAACTGTGCTATAGAATTCTATTTTATAAATATACAGCTGTTTATTTATTGTGATCCTATTAGTTTATCCTAATCTGTCCTTTGGCTTATTAATGAATATGAATTGCCTTTATTTTTTCACTTTTCCAAACGATGTAATAATTAATAGGCTTGTTCATGTCTCCTGTGCACTTTTGTAAGTTCATTTAGGTTTAGATATTGAAGGGGAATTATATTGTATCCATCTTCAGTGTTACTAGATGTTGAAAATCAGTTCTGCAAAAGAGGTTGGCAATAGAATTAAATATTTTAAGATTTTAGCATTACTATTAAAGTGGGAATGGTAACCATTTATTTCAGTCTGTAAAAACTGAAGGATGCATGGTATAAATTTTAGGATAACCAGCAAAAGAATAGTATGAGTATAATATATAAAAAATGTTGATTAATCAAAAGCAAACAAAAGACAAGAAAGAAAGAAAAATAAACACAAAGCACATGAGTGGAATGAAAACAAATGTTAAGATGTGCAGAAATTATGTTGAGCAGATTTTTGCCCTTTGATAAAGTGCATACTATGTCAGATTGGAAATAGTCCTAAAGGCCAAAAACATAACAGAGATTGGTTTTGATGGCTATAAAGATGCATTTTCCCATGACTGCACCACTTTGTTGAGCACTGAGTAATCTAATCAACAGAGGATTGCACCAAACAATTAGTTTCCTACATGCTTAATTAAGGGAGTGCTGACAGTGTAGTTGTTAAGGCATTTGGCTGCTCACCAGAGGGCTGTCACTTTGAACCCACTAGCTGCTCCATGGAAGAAAGGTGTGACAGTTGGCTTCTGTAAAGATTAAAGATGTACAGCCTTGGAAACCCAATGGAGGGTGCTTTGAGTCAGAATTGATTCAATGGCAGTAAGGTTTTTTTTTTTTTTTTTTTATTATTATTGAAGGTACTCTCTCAGCAATAGGATAAGGCTGACCTGCAGTATTGACCTCAGTCACACTCTCAAAGTTCCTGGACCTAGCCATCTGAATAAATTCCTTAGTCATGAAGATCTATTTTAGAAAGCCAAATGGCTTTCTCCTTCATTGTCTATATTGACTTTTACACTAAACCTGAGGCATTAATCCAGGTACAACAGAATGTATCAGCAGTTGCATAGATTCCATTTTGGTCTAGATGGATGAAATTTTGGGCAATCATATCATCCATAACAATGGTGATCAGTAAATTGAGGCTGACCAGGGATTGAGTGCTCTGAAGGGATGAGATGATGTTATTGATTTTTTAAATTTCTTAAAAGTAAAATCAGGGACAAGTTTCATACCACTTACCTTATTGTGTTACTCTCCTTGTAAAGATAAGTGCCCTAGAGTGTTCATAGTTACTATCAGTTACCACTTTGGGAAGTTCCTTCTGAGTAACCAATAAGAGCTTAATTTTAGAGAGATTTCAATAGTGTTGTAGGGCTATATGATCTACTGATGATATTTCCTTAAATATTTGAAGATCTCTTAAGGTCACCCTTGTGTTCTTGTGTATGCCATTTCCATTTGACAAGTAAGGCTTGTCCAAACATTGTGAGTTTTTTGGTTTTTTTTTTTAAATGTTTTATTATGATTTGAGTGAAAGTTTACAAGCAAATTTGTTTTGCATTCAACAGTTCATACACATCTTCTTTCATGATATTGACTGCAATCCCCACAATGTAACAGCACTGCTCCCACATCCTCCCTGGAGTTACCATTTTCCTTGTCCTTTCTACCCCTTTCTAACTTCTGAGTTTTATCCTTGGGAAAATGCTGTCCTTTTGATCTCTCATGGTTGATTGTTCTAAGAAGTGTTCATCTTTCTGGTGTTATTGTTCAGCTCATAGCCCTGTCTATTATTTGGCTAAAAGTTGAGCCATTGGGGTGAGTTCAGTTTCAGACTTGGATGACTAAGGCCTATAGTCTAGGGAGTTCCACCAGTCTCTGTAAGGTCTTTTTTTTAATTATTATTTTGAGTTTTATTCCATATTGTTTTCTCCCACTCTAACCAAGATCTCTCTCTCTCTCTTTTTTTTTTTTAATTTTTCATTTTGATTTGGGTGAAAATTTACAAAGCAAATTCACTTTCCATACAGCAGTTCACATACACTTTGTCTCATGATATTAACTACAATTTACCCCGATGCAACAGCTCCCCTCCCACTTCCTCCTGATAGTTAACTCTTCCCTATGTCCATCACTCCATGCACTCCTGCCCCCTGAGCTGTCTCCCTGTGCATAAACAGCCCTTCTTTCTCCCTTGAATGTTCTCTCCAAGGAGTATGTCTACCTCAGGTAAACGTTCACAGGTGTGGGTTCAATTCTAGACCTGAAGGGCAATAGGGGCCATAGTCTCAGTGGTTCCACCAAGCTCTAGCAGACCAGCAAACCTGGTCCCCCTTTATTTTCCCACATGATTTTGAGTTTTGTTCCACATTGTTCTCCCTCTCTATCCAGGATTTCCTACATAGATCCTCCTTCGAGTGGTTGACAGTGGTAGGTGGGCACTATCTAATTCTTCTGGTCTCATAGTCATATAGGCTGTGGATCACATGGTGTACCAGTCACCAGGACTAATTGTTTCCATGAATCTTTGGTTTTCTTCATTCTTCTTTGCTCTGGACAAGGAAAGACCCATCATTGCATCTAGATGGCTACTCTCAAGCTTTTAAGATCCCAGTCACAACTCACCAAAGTAGGAGGTGGAATAATGTTTTGTGTAGTATGTTGTGCCAATTGAGCTTGACATTCCCTGTGACCATGGTCCTGAGCCCACCAGTTCAACTACTCGGTCCTTCTGGGTAGCTGGCTGTGACCAAGAAGTGACTACAATCTTGTCCCTTGTCAGCTCTGCTATACACCTGGGAATTCTTACAAATCATACAAATACACTTGTAAGATCATTGTCTGCCAAACCTGTACATGATCTTGGGTACACTCCCTGCTACGTAGACATAGACATAGTTCAGCCTGTCCACCCATCTGTTCACCCGTATACCCATGTTTGCCTTCACTGACAATGCAGTATTGTATGTGCAAAAGGGTTCATCTTTATTGTCTGCACCTCCCATGTACCTCTCTATGTCTTCCTCTTCCTCATTGCCACCATGTTGATCACTCACATTTGGTACATTGCCCTTCTCTTCACCCAAATCAATACTTATCTCTACCTATCTAACAATGTCTAACCAAGATCTCTCATTGTGATCCCTCTCAGAGTGGTGGACATTGGTAGCTGGCACCATCTAGTACTTTTGGTCTCAAGGTCATGGAGGCTGAGGATCACATGTTCTACTATCCCTTTGGATTAATTGTTTCCATGCATCTTTGATTTTCTTCACTCGTCTTTGTGCCATATGAGGAGAGATCAATAGTTGCACCTTAGATGGCCACACGAAAGCTTTTAAGACCCTAGTCTGTACTCACCAAAGTAGGATGTAGAATGTTGTCTTTGTGGCCTATGTTTTGCCAAATGACCTTGATGTCCCACATAGACCTTGATGACTATGGTCCTGAGCCCACAGGCCAAGTGACTCATTCCCTCAAGATGTATCATTATGCCTAAGAAAATTTTCATAACTTTTCCCCTTGTTAGCTCTACAGTTTGAAAAGTTTGAAAACCAAAAGGGAAGAACATGCTCAGCATTTCTCAAGCTGAAAGAATTGAAGAAAAAATGTAAGCCTCAAGTTGCAATAGTGAGAGATTCTATGGACAAAATATTGAATGATGCAGGAACATCAAGAGAGGATGGCAGGTATACACAGAATCACTGTACCAAAAAGAACTGGTCAATCTTCATCCATTTCAGGAAGTGGCATATGATCTAGAACCAATGGATTTGAAGGAGGAAGACAAAGCTGCAATGAAAGAATTGGTGAAGAACAAGGCTCCGGGAATTGATGGAATACCCATTGAGATATTTCAACAAATGGAAGCCCCATTGGAGGCACTCACTCAGTTATGCCAAGAGATTTGGAAGACAGTGTACATCTTTGCAGCACATACAATATGTGTGTAGAAATATTGTCTGC